TCAAACTCTCATGTTCTGGTTTAATTTTTATTCTTAAGTTTAAGCTATGAGTTTTGGTTATTTTTTTTCTCTTTTTCTGTTTTTTTTTATTAGTACATATTTGCAGTACATAATAATACAGTCCTTGTGGAAAATTGGTACCTGTACATAAAACATTTTAATTCTCTTTTCTCTTTTTTATCTGACTTAGATTGAGTTCATGCTTCACAGTGCTAACTGGACTCTGGACTTTTTTTTCTCCAGAACTGGGGATTGAACCCATGGCCTTGGCAATGAGATATATCCTCAGTTACTGACTTTAGTTTCTATATCCCATTGCAATAGATTTTACTAAATTTGAACCTGAAACTGTGGCTTTAGGAAAATTTTGTCTGAAGATCAGGAAATTTTCTTTTTCTTACCATAACTATAGAACTATAAAGAAGTAAATTTTGTTCCATGAAGAAGATGTTGTTTTTTCTACTCAGGATAGTGTGAAGAATGATAAAATCATAATTCACACTTTTCCTCAGGCCAGACCACATGGGAATCCTGTGCTTTTTTCAAATTACAAAGTGAACTCTGCTTTCTCACTCCTTCTGAGGCTGTCTGTGCCAGGCTAAGCCTTCTGCCTTTCTCATTCAAGCACCTGGTACAGCTGTTTCTCCTCATGGCCTTGGTGTCAAGATCGACTGTGTGAGTTCTGAGTGAAGTAACTTGTGTCCTGCTAGCCTGGAACATTTCTTGCCAAGCAGGAGACCAACCCCTGCTTTTTGAAGCTGAGAACTGAAAGACACAGAGCTACCTAAAAGGAGGAGTGTTCCAGACAAAAGCAATAGTTAGAGCAAAGCTGTCGAGGCAGGCTGGAGTTTGTTAATTGCTTTCAGGTCCAAAAATTAAAAGAAAGAAATTTTAGCTAGAACATGATAAGCAAGTAGAAAAGTGGCATAAGCTGATAATTATTACTGTATATTCTCAGAGAGGTCTTCACTGACAACCCCCAATTAATTCAGCAACCCTTGCCCCAGTCCTCTATCTTATTACCCTTTCAAATATTCTTTATAACAGTGTTTTCATTTATGTGTTTTCTTTTTATTGTATATATACCTTGTTAGAATGTAAGTTCTATTAATAATAGATCTTACCTGTCTTACTCATCTCTGTATGTACTCATTTTCCGAGAGTGGAAATTGGGTTCACTGTTAGTATTCAATGAATATTTGATGAAAAAATAAAAATACTGAATGAATGAATGAATGAATATGGTAAGAAAAATAACCTGGGACCTACCATAGAACAGATTTTGGACTTGAAATTAATGAGAAAAAAAGAAGAGTTTTAAGTCAAGGGCAATATGCTCTGACTTGCCTTCAAAAGTAATCACTGTTGTGTCAAGGACAGATCTGAAGAACTGGGAAACAGATTGCATGACTTAGATCAATGTTATGGGAATATGAGAAATACCAAGAAGCCATAATTCACTGGGCTGGGTGTTTGATATGACAATAGGAGAGTCCTGGATTGGAGTGTGAAGAGCTACAAATAGAATGGAGCCTTTTAATGAAGAGAAAGAGGAAGTTGTGTTTGTTTGCTGTTCATTAGGGGGAGGTCTGGTAGAGATACTGAATTCCTTTTCAGTCAAGTTTGAGTTGTGTGAGACATTCAAAGGGAACTGTCAGGTAAAAAACCTTAGATCTAATTAGAAAATGGAGATTTGAGAGTTGTTTGCACATAGGGGGAACAACATCCTTGGGAACAGAGAAAGACAATTAGTGAGAGGTGACAGAGAGAGATCAGAGAGGACCTAGCCTGATCCCAAGGAACTGTATAAACACCATAAAAATTGTCACGTTTCCAAAAGGTAGGGTGCTGACCCTTAAGATAACCATATACCTGGTCTAATGAAGTAGTACACTGTAATGTTTAATCTTGAATTCAACTTGGGCAGACTGAGGAACACCTCGGAAATTAGTAAAGAACCCTTCTGAGTGTGTCTGTGAGGGTACTGCTAGAGAGAGTTGGCAGGTGGGACAGCAAATAGAAGGGGGACTTGCTCTGAGGGTGGGAAGTATCACTGAATAGTCTGCAGGCACAGCTGGAACAAAACCAGAGGCAAGAAGACCCCAGCGCAAGCTGTGCTCTCTCTGCTTCCACTTACCATGAGCTGAACAACTTTGCTCTTTCGCATCTATCCCTTGTGCAGTACTGCCTCACCTCAGGCCAGAAACTATGGAACAAATCCACCATGAGCCGAAACCTCGGAAACCATAAGCCAAAATTAATCTTTCTTTTTTTGAGTTTATTTTCTCTGGTATCTGTCACAGTGACAGAGAGCTCTAGTACAACTATGCTGGAAGCTACCCTGGCTTTCTGCTTTTCTAGATCCATATCTTCTCAGGGAAAATGACAATTATTCTTGTCATAGAGAAACAGGCTTCAGAGCTACTGTTATCAAGAAAGGATCAGAAAACTTCTTACCTTTCACACACATACATCTCTTTAATTCTAATTATTGTAAAATGATAGAATTTTCACATCTAACTGGAAGTTCTGAAGTCTACAATAAAAATGTCTTATGCTCACTCCACAAGAGGTAACATTTTTGCTGACACTGCTTGTATGTTAAAGCACCTGAACTCTGGAATGTACACACACAAAAGCAATAAGCAGGGACACTAATACTCAAAGCAAATTTTTAACCTGGAGCAATTGATTTAAGAAGTGTATTTGTTCAGTTGTAACTTCAAATCATTGCCCTATTAACCTGAGAGTATTAAGCAGTTTCTTAAAGATTACAGAATTACTTTTTCAAATGGACTTGCCTGTATAAGTCTATTTCTAGACAATATGAGTCTAGCTGTTCTTTTTACTCATTTTGCTTTTCCTATGCTTTTTCCTTATGTTCACTTTCTTTCAAAAGATAAAAATTTTGTCCATCATTTCCATTATTTTCCTTATCCTTCTTAATCCTAAGTGGTAACAGGAGGTAGAACGGCCTGTAGGGTCATAGCTCAGGAAATGGTCATGATAAAGGAGCTTAGCTGCGGGGGATGGAACAGGAGTTAACAGTATAGCAGGCTTCTAGGGAATGTGAAACAGGGTAAAGAAACAAGACAAAGACCAGTAAGGAGTTTCAGGGACAGGAACGGACCAAGGAGACAACTGGGGCCAAGACAACACAGGCTAAAATGGTGGTCAGCTGAAGTGAGATATTAATTATATGTCAGGACAAAGGACTGATTCAAACAATGGAACAGAAGATGAACTTGGAATATATTGTGCCAGACAGTGACAGAACTCCCAGATAATAAAGGAAACTTGTCAGTTGGATATATGTGGTACCATTTAGGAGGTTCTTACTGGCCCAACCAGGAATAATAGGAGCTTCAAAATCAATAAGGATAATAATGTATCATATCCCATTGAGTAAAATAGATAGCTATAAATCTTTATTGACACAAATAAATTAATGAGTAAACAGATACATGAAAGAGACAGAAACTTTCTATGCAGTATAATGCTAATTAATACTGTAAATATTGATAAATGATGAAATTAGAAAATCACCATTTGGTAACCCTCACTGTAATAAGTAATTCAGACAAAAATTATCAATGAATCCTAAATCTAGTGTGAAAGTATAGAATGATATAATATTTGTTTTCCTTTTGTATCAGGGATTAAACTCACTGAATTTTACCACTGAGCTACACACATTGCCAAAAATTTACATAGTTTGAAAGCATTTCACAAATGGAAAAGTTATTAAAATTATAATGCAGAAACCTAGCAGACACTACCATAACCAATTGATGAAAAATTTTGTACCTCCTGACTGGACACAAAGAATAGGACATCACTGGGGAGAAATTCCTACTAAAAAAATCAAACTTTAAATGAGACACTCTACAAAATAATTGGCCTTTACTCAAAAGTACCAACATCACAAAAAGGAAGGAAAGACAGAGCAATTACTCCACAGTGCAAGCTAAAGAAACCTGACAAGGAAATGCAACAGGTGATCCTGGATTAAATCCTACCCTAGACAAAAAAAATTTTTTTTAAAATAAAACAGCATAGTGCTGGACAGCCCTTAAAATAGGAATAGTGTGTTAGGATTAGATGGTAGTGTTTTATCAATGCTAAATTCCTGATTTTGTTGAGTACATGGTACCATGTCTGCAAATGATAGTCAAATAATTCAGTAGGGAAGAAACATATACATGATGTGTATCACACAAGATAGTGTGATAGTCAAATACTGTACTAACAACTGAGGAAGCTGGAAATTCTCTTTACTGTTCCTATTATATGATGGCAAAAATATTTCAAAATGGGTAGTAATTAACCATCTAACACAAGTGTCTGGCTATCACAGCCCTGGTTCAGGGTAGGAAAGGACAAGGATGATTCTTGACCAAACACACGGAGGAAGTGGTGTACTAGAGTCTTTAAAGATGCTGCTGTGAAATCTTGGGTATAGTAGTCTTCTCTGGCTGGCAGAGCAAAGATTCTGGGTAATGTAGTCTCTGTTAACAAGAACATATCTGGGATTCTAGGCATCATAGCCAGGCTGCCACAGGGTGGCTTAAAAAAAAAAAAGAAAAATATCTTCACGAAATCAATAAATAAGATTATAAAATTTAAAGTATTCAAAGTAAAAAAGTCATAAAAATATAGAACTAAAAAGTCATCAGTATTATACACATTTCAGTGTTACTTTGTACTTCAAGCATTATACTGCCCTAAAGGTAATTTATATTTCATCTTTTCTTTCATCTTACTTTTGGGCTAATGACTAATTTAGAAAAAAGTAACAAAATACAAATTTTAAATGTAAGACTAGTACATACAAATTGCAAAAACTACTATTTGAGAAAGTCTTAAAAATTGTTGATATTTCCTTTTATTTTAAAACTGATACATAAATGATAATAAGAATCCAGAAGCTTCAAGTTTTGTTCTCAAAGGAAGTAACAATATAGGCCAATATGCCCACTTTCTCTTTCTTTCTTGGCTAGGTTTCCTATGTCAAAGCCATTGATATTTGGATGGCAGTATGCCTTCTTTTTGTGTTTTCTGCACTTCTGGAGTATGCAGCTGTAAATTTTGTATCAAGACAGCACAAAGAACTTTTGCGATTTCGACGAAAGAGAAAGAATAAGGTAAGTGATTAAATATATTGGGTTTGGTGGAAAATCATTATTGCTGGAAAGTGAATTATTTTTATTTAATGGAGATGTACAGGAAACAAATTGGTGTTATGGACTACATAAGAGCGTATTCCTTTATTCTTGTCCAGTTAAAACTTTAAGTATCAAAGTAGCTTCAGGGAGAAAATGTTGACACTTTGCTATACTTTACCAGGGTATCTGGTAGCATAAGAGTTTTATCAACTTCTCTAATGTACTTCTGGGAGCAACATTTTTTTTATTATATGGATGAATGAAATAAATCATCTCTTAACTTGCAATGTTAGTGTTTCTAATGGTTTTACTTCATATGTCATAGATATAATTATTAACATTGTTCCTCTTTCTGAACTAATTCCTTTAGTCCTAGTTCCATAGAATATTATTTATTAATATCGTGATATAAGTTCATACAAGACTATGTGATCTCCTTTATGCATATTTTCACATTCTTAAACTATTTCTTCAGACACCCTATGGGAAGCCCAATGAAGTACTAGTGTGCCCTACTATCATCTCATAAAAGAAAATTTATTTATTGCTGGGATTTAGCTCAGTGGCGCAGCACCAGCTTGGCAAGCGTAAGGTCCTAAGTTTCGATCCCCGGTACCAGAAAAAAAAAAGAAAAAAGAAAATTTAGGAAACCATGGAAAATTGTAGAAGTAACCTTCTATCTGGTGCTTTTATAAAGTCCAGTAATGGCATCTCCTTCTACAGGCTCGTGGTTTTGTCCACCCTCTTTCCTTTTCTATAAGATAAGAGTTTCTCTTGACAAAAAAGTCCAGCAAATTTACTTCTTCTAATGTGAACATGCCAACTGACATTTTAAAAACAAGTTGAATTTTAGAGCAACAAAATAATGTCAAAGTTGTATTTAATTATAGCCAGGGTACGTAAACTGGAATCATTACTTCAAAACATGTCTTAAAAATAATGATCTGTGTGTACAGTACAAATTTTTAAAGATTTCTAAAGGTTCATTGGTTTCTGAATTATTGACTACCTATATAATCAAACTGTTTCTAAAGCAGTAAGTTTTGATCTCTCATTCCTTGAATCCACACAGTATCAAACATATTCTAAAGGAGTAACTTAAACATTTCTAATAGGTCCTCCAAAAGTTATCACTGCACCAATAAACAAACATTCCAAAATTGCTGCCTGGAAGGAAAATCAGCACTGGGACAGAAATCAATGTCTGAGCTTACATTTCATTTATGAAAATAAAAGCATATTATTTGTATATTGAAATGTATTATGATGGAGAGATTAAGTTTTCCTCATCTGCTTTCTCCACCTTCCTCTGTAGTACTGGTCTACTTACATTTTCTCACTATTCTTTACTCTTCTGTATCTCCTCTTATGCACAAATACCTGCTCCCTCTTTCTCTCACAATTCTTGGTGCTGGCTGAAATAACCTAACAGAAAAAAAATGCTGTATCACAAGGGTGAAGCTCTTCTTTTTCATTCTGATTAGTGACCAACTGATAAAGACAATTTCCCCATTTGTATCATTTATCACACCAAAGGCAATATTCATATTTCCTTCCATAATTTCATTTTAGATTTTTATTTTCACTTTATTACCTTTTTCCTCCCTGTACTCATTTAGAATGTCTCAATTATGTGATGCAAACCTAGAAATGCTAAGTATGGTGTATTTGGTGTACAAATGGACATAGTCTGAGAGTTCAAACATATTCTGTATCCACCAGTCACTGTGTCCACTGGATAAAGTAATAGATGCTCAATTGTGAATTTTCCTTTTTACACAATTATTCTTATCAAAATGTCTCTTTACTCAGTTAATCACATGTAAGAATGGGATAAAATTGTCTGATGGTCTTTACTCTTTAGTTTTAAGAAAAATGGAAAGATCAATTTTCGCAGTGACCGATACTCTGGGAAAAAGTAGAAACGCAAAAAGAGTACTATTTTATTTTCTAATCACTAATTGAAAAACTCAGGAAGCAAATGTAATTAATGTGGTAAAGTTTTGATCCAGAGGAAAGTAAGTCAGTTATTTCAAAGTTCAATTCATATCTTGCATATGTGAAAGTCTATTAATTGATACATATGTGTGTTCAGATGTTATATGTGATTAAAATCAATTGTGTAATTATATTTAAGTATATATGACTTGACTCTGGTTTTTCAATCCTTCTTGGTTCACTTTACCTTGCCACAGACAGATGCTTTTGCATTGGAGAAGTTTTACCGTTTCTCAGACACGGTAAATTGACTTTCTTAACTCTAAATACAGGAATGTGATCATCAGTAAAAAGCAGACAGCATATTCTACATTTAGGCAGTGTTTGGTGGGGAAATGCAATCCTTTCACATGTAAAGCCAAGCAAATATCGTTTCCCCTCAGATAAGAAGGAGATTCTTTTTTCTAAGAACTCTATTCTATTCTTTATTCATTAGTAGGATATTTAGATATCCTTCATTTTATTTTTTTTATTAAATTCTTTTATTGGTACATTGTAGGTATACAGCACACTTACATTTCTCATTGGGAATTGTACCTTTACATAATGCATCTTGGTTCTTATTTTTTCCCCATTCCTAGCCCTCCCTTCATGCCCTCCACCCTTCCCTATTTACAAAGACTTTATTTCCATTATTTCCATTTCTCATCATTTTTTTTTCCCTTCTTTCCTTTCTCCTGCCCCTCCCACTACCCCTACCCCTTTGGACCTTTTCTTCCTATTTTACATTATCGATTATTCACTCTAATCATTGGTACATTTTAGGTATACAATATAATGACATTCATCATTAGAAATTTGCACCTTTACATAGTCTCTCTTGGTTCATTTTATTAACAGAAATATTTGGTCAAAATGATTATATATCTTTTTTCAAGAGAAATGTCATATACATTTTGTAATAATCTCCAAAGAAGAAACAGTCATATACCTGGTCAAAATTAGTTGCAACCTTATTTATACAATAAATTCTAAAAGCAGCAGCGTAAGTGACTAAAGGTAATGAAGTGAAAAATAAAGCCCAAAATACTTTGTATGGTGTATGGTATATGTATCTTTAGACTACATTCTTAATGTTTAAATATAGTTAAATTATTTTAAGCAAACTAATTTTTTTTTTTTTTGGTACCAGGGATCAAACGTGGGACCTTGCGTTTGCGAGGCAGGCGCCAGAACCACTGAGCTAGATCCCCAGCCCCAAGCAAACTAATTTTTATAGTAGCATCCTTTGAAATTTTCAAATAAAAAGAAACTACAAGGACTATGTTCAAGTATAATGGCTAAATATTTAGAAAGAATCTAATGTACAGTGTATTGGCCCATGAATAATTTGACAGGAGCCCCCTAATATAGCATGCATAATTAAATGTAAATCTATCAAAGCCAGAAATTTGAACTGGGAGATCATATACAAGTAGTCTAGTTTTAAAAAATAACATTTTTGCAGTAAAATGTATTTTAAAAGTAGCTCCCCAGGTGATTCTACTTTACGCCCCAGTTAGGAATGCCTTCAATAATCTGATCTGCATAGCAGATTATCTAGACCCAGTGTTATTTTAAAATACTGTTTTCTTTTAATATATATCACTTAAATTCTCCCTTTTTGTCCTTGAAAAACAATTTCTCATGATCTATTTGCCTTTACTTGATTATCTTAACTATAAATTTTATTTGCATAATCAAATAGTATTTATAATATATACTCATTCAATAAACATAAATATATATGTTAGACTACATAGTAGAGGTAGGAGAGAGAGAGAGAGAGAGGATATATCTGTCCCCTTTGGAAGGCAAAATTAATTATGTCTCCAATAACTAAACAGTTAATTAGTTACAGAAACTATAGAAAGAAGATATATTCTATTAGTGATTGCTTTACAAAGAACTCTGATGAAGAGGCAAGCTTACTGAATGGACAATAATTTTTTTAAAAAGAATATGGCAGTTTAAATATATTCACAAGAAAGTACATGAATCTCATTTACTTTTTAAACTAATGAAAACATTAGACAAATCCAGGGATGGTTATTTTGAGTTTTTGAAAACTGTTTTTCTCAAACCAACAATCTTCTGGGCTCATTGAATTCATCATTATATACATATACATATATATATGATATAAATAAGATAGATATAGATAGATATACATAATATTTATATATATAAGAGGTAATCTGAACAAGCTAAATCTTTAAACCAGCATAATCAAAATGAGTCTAATAAAAGCTGAGATTATGCTCTTTATTTTCATGAATACTGGTTGATGTGACTTTTATTCAGTACTCTACCTTTGCAAAATAAACAAAATTGCCTTATTATAGAAAGTTGTCACAAGGGGAGACCTTGTATTAACATAAATAGTAGTCCTAGGACAGTTGACTCAGCATTGACTTAGGCATCATATAAAATGTTGATACTTTACTTTTCTCTATAAAAGTATCAGATAATCCTTGATCTATTGTGAAAGAATAGAAGTTTGCTGTTGTGTTCAAATTTCCCCACCCTACACTGTTGGAGCCTGCTGTGTGCTGATTACAAACTGCCATCTCATGGATGCTCTCGCCAGTGCTGTGTGGGAGTGTGCGTGATACGGAAAGATATTGGTTAGACGTGACTATTCTTATATATTATTGCTTAATCCTAGAAGGTTATAAAGTCAGCAAAGTATTTCTGACTGTTTTATTTGTTGAGCGAGATGGATGAAATGGGATGGCTTTAATGCATTTCATGTAGCTTCTTCCACATTACAACATGGTGATGCAATGGTTTTCTGAAAGAAAACACATTCACATGGTACTCTAGTGATTCTTCTTCCTACCTAATATTTATTATCATCTGTATATATAAATGAAATGGGAATGAACTATTAGTTCTGATTTAGAAAATGATGACTAAATTTATACTTTGCTAAACATGATGGTTATGGTCTTTAATAAAGATGTATCATTGACTGCCTTTTAGTAATTTTAATTATGTGG